TTTTTTGAGAAAGAAAACGTGCTTCGAACAGATGACGCAGCTATGCCCTTTTGCGCCCATTTCCACAGCTTAAAAGAGGACTTTCGTAATTTTCTATTATTGCAATCAATATCTGAGGCTCAACCGGAGATTGAGCTGGACCTGGTTAACAAAACGGATTATACATTCAGGTGAAAGGTGTCCTGCATAACACTATAGTGGCTCGGGTGGGATCCGACATAATGTATCGTAAGTGCACTTACGGCTACTATGCAGAGAAGGTTTTGAGCCGAAGATGTCGAACATCAACAGAGATGCAGGTACCCGCGGGTGAAGTCCTGCCAGCGCTGAAAATAAGTCAGTTTTTTCTCTGCGAGTTGCTCACTAAGCTGATGTTTTGCGTTGCGGTAAAGATAATAACTGCGATTGGAAATGAAATTATTCCTTCGGAAAATTTACTCAAAACCTAATATTGCACTAATTCCTTTCATTCTTGTGATATTTTGAGTTTGTAAATGCTACGAGATTCTCCTTGAGGACTAAGATGAATTATCTTTACTTATTCACTAAACGAGCTTGGATCAAATACTGCCGGATTGCGTCTAATATAAAATGGTTGAACTTAATAAAAGGGCTAGTTTAAAGGCAATACAGTAGTTTTCAAATTCAATAAATGTTTGCATTGTGACAATATCCTAAAATCAACAAATTTACAGTAATCTGCGCGATTGAACCATTAAAAAAATTTTGAGGATGTAGGAATTTCTGTTCTTCGAATTCATGATATATTACTTGTAACAATAGGCTGTGATACTGTACAAAGTAACCCTTGCGTGCATGTTGACATGTACCCAGCTCCAATCTGCGGTCAAATCAACGATATTCATACACAGGTATGAACTACGAGAAAAATGAATCGCATAGCTATTGATTAGTCAATTTTAGATATTGGAAAAGGAGGTGGCCCTAGGTGAAAGAGATTTTAGTCTTACACTCAATATTACATTCGATCCTATTGTGCGAGAAAATGAATTGCCAACTATCTACTATAAGGCGTTTTATGGAGAAGCACAGCCATATCCAAGAAAGGAAGAGGTACATATACGGCTGATGGCGAAATATTTCCGTATTATCCTTCATTCAATGTCACTTCCTCCAAATTTCTTCAGGAGGCGATTGTAGGAGTCAATTTAACACACATTATCGGTAATGCTACTAATTGTTTGAAATTTGACGAAAACGGCTACTGTTTGGTAAGCATGACTGA